ATTGCCTCCATGCATTAGCTACCTTCAAACGTTGGAATTTGAAGTTGAAAATGATATTTTTGCCAATTTCTTAGCTGGCAATAGAGACTTATAGGATTAATAGGATTATTCTTTAACAAGGTAGGACGGTTTATGTATACCATCTATTTTAAGTCTTTATTTTAATAAATTTTTAAAATATAACTTAAAAATATGAAATTGCAGCTTTAAATTGGCAATCTGTTTCACAGAGGATTACGAAAGTAATCCAATATCTCTGTAAAAGATGACTTCTTTTAACAAGTGACGTCTCATCACGCGGTGTCAATCATTGGCTCAATGGCGCCTGCATTGTTTACATAAGACGTTACTGATTCGGGCAAGGTGTCTTTTACTCATTTTAACGCCCATTTACACTAATTAGGAAATAATTTTACCTACAAATATACCAAACGTCTTTAATTATTTTTCTAATACATAAAAAAAAATGTTTTAGAAGTTAATATGTCGAATGAAAAAAGTTAATATGTGTGGTTCATTAAGTCGCATCTATGTCATCCTTATCAGTGATTGTAGCGGCCTAGCGAATATTCACTGCTGATCAGTGTGATTAAATGGAAGTAGGTTGAACATCTAATATCTATGCTAAATAATAAGAACAACTAAAATAATAAAGAAAAGGAAAGGGTGGTGAACTGTATTTAAAATGGGTGATTGTAAAAGGAATAGTGTCTAGTCACTCGGATGGGACTGAAAATCGAGGTTCCGTGTACACATGTCCGTTCACGTAAACGAACCCTTGAAAGTTTGAATTCGAAATAAGAATAGGCTGTAGTGCCGCTGTCCGGGCAAAATGTCCCTAATAGAACACTGTGTATGTCCATCTTCATATGACACAGAAACGGCGTTTCGTCAATCTAATTAAAACACAGGTCCTATTTCGTTTCGTTTTTTTATGGTTCAAAATTTCATTTTACTTGTCTTCACAACCCTAAGATCTGGAAGAGTTGTTATATATAAGCCACGTTCTGAATGATGTAGGGGATTAGCCAATGAAACGGTCTGTTGCGGCAAGTTTTTGGCGTTAGTTGCACGCAACTTTGGGTAAACCACTAGAAACGTCAACGCTGGTTGATTAATCAATGTCTAGCGACATAGGGTAAAAAGCCGCTCGTATGACCTCTGACGCGACCTCCCATTACAACCGATCAGATCATTATGTAGTGTTGGCCATCGAAAGTATAAAAAAGCGAAACGAAATATAGATCTGTATTATAATCAGATAGGGCGTTACGTTAAATATTCTCTTATCGCTATCAAGCTCAAAATGGCGATTAGTAGTAGTGTTTGGTGGTTTTAGACCTGTTTCCCGTGTACTCGTTTTCATGGCGTCTCCGCTCTTGTTTTTGTCGGCGAAAAAGTCGCTCTAATGCAATGGGAACGTTTTAAAAATGAAATGAAATGAAATGGAATGGGGTTTAACGTCCTACTGTTCTGCTCTGCTCGCCATTTTGGTTACGCCTAGTCAGTGATGCAGGATGGAGGGCCTGACAAGGGCAGCTGTCTAGTCGTTCGGATGTGACGAAAAACCGAAGTTCTGTGTACACATTGACGTGCACGGAAAAGATCCCTTGGCAGATGGAATTCGATATAAGAGTAGGCCGTAGTGCTGCTGTCCGGGCAAAATTTCCCTCATAACACACTGTATGGCATATGCCCGTCTTCATTAGCCCAGTTCGGAGCAGAACAGTAGGACGTTAAACCTCATTTCATTTCTGTTATAGTTATTTTTTTTCCTTTTGTATTTTGGGTGGTTGGATGGCTGAATGGTTAGCGTGAGCGCGCTGTATCATAAAGTCTGTCATTGAGTCGACTGGCGTGGTTTCGAATCCCCAGTTGTACGTGGCAAGGAGTAGGGTCGCCTGTCCAACCTCGTGGGTTTTCTCCGGGGCCTCCGGTTTCCTCCCACTGCTAAAGACCCCTACGCGCAAGCGAATTATTGAAATAAAATTAAACCATATGTTAGTCCCGAAATGACCTAGTTTGTGTCGAGTGGACGTTAATCTCCCTCTCTCTCTCTCTCTCTCTCTCTCTCTCTCTTCGGAATATTTATAAGAATATTTAAAGGGTATTTACCTGCACCGAACCCAACTAAAGCTCTAGCTAGTAATAGATAATATTGTCGTGTATCGTGTATCGTGTATTTCTCTCTCTCTCCTTTTGTATTCACGGTACTATTGTTATATTGCTATGGTGTATTACTAATTATGTTAACATAGCAATTGAGGATGCTAGGGCAAAAAAGTCGACAAGTATTTCACACATTCCGCCAAAAATAGTATTTTTTTATATTTTTAGACCAGATCATTAAAATTGACATATACTGTGATAAAAATAATGAAATTATAAAAATGAACAAGTTGTTAAGAAAATCTACTAAAATAGATTTATTTGAAAAAGGTATTAATTGTTGTGTTAATTTAACAAATGTTTTGACATTTGTATATTTCTAGACCAGAAATATATACTGTGATAAAAATGATAAAATGTTAAAAATGAACAAGTTTTTAAGAAAATCTGCTAAAAATAGATTTATTTGAAAAAGGTATTAATTGCCGTGTCTCGACAAACTTAATTTTTTTTTTTATGTTTTTGAATGTATATCAAATTCAGTTCAGTTATAGTAATGGGGCCAATAAGAAAATCAATGGAGTGTGGGTTATGATGTGTTATAGGGGAGATAACTGCATTTAAGAATAAAGGTGACCAACGCATTTTAAAGGAAATAAAAAGGGGTTTAAGTCCTACTTTTCGGGCCAATAAGGACGAGCGAGCACCAAGCAGATGCTGTGAGGGACATCACAGCGGCGTTTCCCGTCTACTCTTATATCGAATTCTCACTAAGGGTTCTTTTACGTGAACGCCACAACGAGTATATCCCAGCGAATGGATTTTTTGTCCGATCCGAATTACTAGACACTGTGTCTTAAACATACATTATACAAGAGCTATATCTGCCTACTGCAGGTCTTTCTTTAGGCCTGAAATGTTATCTAAATTATTAATTAGAAATTAATTAACTTATCCAGACCATAATCAACTCTAAATGCCATCGCTAGCCTGCGATATTTAGCGGATTGGAATACATTTTTTGAGATTTTTTTTTTATCGTACCGATTTGAGTAATGATGATCAAGGCTAGCATAAAATTCAATAGCTAATATCTCGGTTCAGAGTGGATCCATTTGACTGAAATTTTCAGCATATTCTCTTTAATTATCTAATTTTTAACTATTATAGCGAGAACTGTCAACTCATTATCTTATCTCCCATACAGCCCCTTTAATTAATACAGTCTCTCAGTTTTGCACCACAATGGGAAATCACGCTACAAAATCCTGCAGAACTTCCTCGGCAAATTTCGAGATCGAAATCCGGACCTCCTGGTTATAGAGCCAGCGCTAAATTTGCTCACCAGGGCGGGTGGGGAGGGGTGTGTGATGGATGGCCGAATGGTTAGCGCGTGCTCGCGGTATCATAAGGTATGTCATTGAGTCAACTAGGGTGCTTTCGATTCCCTACGTGTACGTGACATAGAGTACCGGTCCATTAACCTCGTGGGTTTTCTCCGGGTCCTCCGGTTTCCTCCCACTGCTAAAAGTCGCCTACGCGCTTGCGAATTAATGACATAAAATTGAACCATATGTTATTCCCGAAATGACCTAGTTTGTGTCGAGTGGACGTTAAACCCCATCTCTCTCTCTCTCTCTCTCTCTCGCTTTGCTAACCGAGTAATCTTGCATTCTTGCATTGCAACAAGGAAATAAACAAGGAAATATAGTTTGTCAAATAATTTGAACAACATTTCCGTTTTCTATTAATTCTCAGTAGTATAGTTTTAATTGGCAATAAATTAAATTATGTTCCTTGTTGTAAACGACAGATCAGGAAATGGAATGAAATGATGTTTAACATTCTACTGTTCTGCTCCGACTGGGCTATTACAGTCTGTGCAATTACAGAAATTTGCCCGGAACTATACGGCCTACTCTTATTTCGAATTTTTTATACATCCGTACAGCAAAATTTATTTCTTTTGCAATTTGTTTGGGTAAATACTGATATCTCCTAGACTCTAAAATAGGGTCGCCTGTCCAAGCGAATTATTGAAATATAAATTGAATCATATCATAGTCCCGAAATGACCTAGTTTGTGTTGCGTGAACGTTAAACCCCCATACTCTATCTCTTTTTCTACTTGTAAATTCGAGAATAAGTTAGTCCCGATATGTGTCGAGTGGGCGTTAAACTCTCCCCTTCTCCTTCGCTCTTAGAAATGGTTCCACTATACCGGTATTGTCTTCCGCCTCACCCCAAACACAGTTTAGCGCTACAACAACTGTAGCTATCTCTCTCTGTGTCCCATATCTTTTTCATCGTTTAAATATTTGAATGTATACACTTTTTATGTAGGCCTACGGTATCTTACAGATAACGTATTCTTTATACTGTAATGATAATAATATGTGCTGTGCATGCATGCCTCGACGATATATATATCTTTATCAATAATCAAACCTTAATTAAATAAGCCCATTGAATTCTCCCGTAAAACCATTGCAAATAGTCAGACCTACCGCCAATTTCGCATATTTGTTTAAACATGGAATAAGAATACTTCGTTTGAACAAGATTAACACAAGAAAATATTTGCAAATGGGACCTAGGTCGTAGTAGGGTACCTTTAAAATTAATGACATGACAAAGTCACGTACCCGGCCGTGACGGTGTCAAAGTTCACATTTTCGTAAACAAATAGACATATCAAATAGTTCTTTACATTCCTTCAATTTAAATGGATATTTCTCAGAGAAAAGGTAACATTCAAATTTTCAAATACGTATCCGGTAATATTCCGGATTGATTAATCATTTATTACGAAATTAGAAATGTAATCGGTGAAAATAGACCAATCACGCACCTGCAAACAAGCCCTCTAAATTCCTCCGCCTAAACTTCCGGTTAAACATGGCGTAGAAAAAGTTGTGTTTTGTTTGTCAATATTTTGACAAATCGCCTTGCACCAACTTCCTGTTCAAAACCTAGCAAATTTAAACGTACTGGAATATTGTTATACATTTTCCCCGATTGATTTTATGAACAGCAATCTGAAAACTAATCTTTGGACGTTGTGAAACTAGTGCTAAGTTACATGTGCAATGAAGCCTGGATATAGTGGATAAAGATTGGATGAAAACAAGAAGAGTTTGGACTTGCAATCTGTTGTTTGTTCAAGTACTGAAGTAGTGTGCGTGTATATTGAGCAATATTCTATTTTAAGAAATGACTTAAACTCATCATGTTAAAGAAAATATGTAAAATATTCAATAGATAAAGAGAAAATATGTAAATGTTTCAAGTCTGAAAAGAAAATATGTAAAATGGATGAACAATCACTGAATGAACTGTTGGAATGTTCTGTGTGTCTGGAGAGACTGAATCACACCAGTAAAGTTCTGCCATGTCAACACACCTTCTGCAGACGATGTTTAGATGAAATTTTACTGACAAAGCAGGAATTGCGATGTCCTGAGTGCAGGGCGCTCATTGAAACGAAAGTAGAGGATTTACCGAACAATATTTTGCTGATACGATTATTGGAGGGTTTGAAAACGTGTGGTGTTGTGTCGAAACTCGATAGCGAACCTCCGTTAAGACGGCGCGACAATGTCTCATCTACTAGTTCAACTTCAAGACAATCAAATAGACAGGTAGAACATATTCATTTGTGTTGGCCGAGAAAATTCATTGAGATTTTCCGTCATGGTTTTCACCTTGTCAGTGGTGCAGTACGGAGGACCTGGCAAGGACAGTGTTTAGTCAATCGGATGGGATAAAAAACTGTGGTCCCTTTATAGTTGGAATTTGATATAAGAGTAGGCTGTAGGGGTAGCACGAATTACCCAAATCTACCCAAATCCACCATTATTTCAACTCATGTCACACTCACAATAATTTATAGGCAGTGACTTTTGTTACGACGAGTCGTAAAAATAGTCCTCAGGCTATTGTTACGACGATGCTTTCAGAGCCCTCCATCGATAAAGTTTAGTCATACCCGGATCCAGGATTTTGTTGAGAGGGGTGGGGGGGTGGCATACATTGGAGCAAAGGGTAATCATCAGAGTGCCACATGCATTAGTGGTTTGCATTAGTGGCGTGGGCTGAAGGGGGGGGACACAGCTCCCTGGATCCGAACCTGTAGTGAAGTTGAAATCCATTGATTCAGAGGAGTAATAGAAATTGATGGTATTCAGTTTTTAACTTTGCCGATGGAGGGCTCTGAAAGCATCGTCGTAACAATAGCCGGAGGACTATTTTTACGACTCGTCGTCACAATAGCCACTGCCTAATTTATATCGATATTTGATAATATACCTTTTTTTATGCCAAATTGCCATTTTTAATTGAAAATCGTAACGTTTATTGTCAAAAATGCCCTTCAAATTGCGATTTCCAGGCAAGTTTGGAAGTTGTAACCAAGGGATGTAACTCATGTGTTACACGGAATCTTTGGCCTGGAAATCGCATTATGAGGGACCTTTTGACACATAATAATGTTAAGGTTTTAAATTAAAAATGATATTTTTGTATGAAGAATGGTATCATTAAACATTGATATATATTGTTTTATGAGTAGTGGATTTAGGTAAATCGTGCAATGGAAAAATTCCTCCCATGGCACACTCTCTGGCATATTCCCGTCTTCTTTAACTCAGTTGATGTAGAAAAGTAGGATGGTAAACCATATTTTATTTCATCACTTGTCATCGTTAATATGGTACATGTACATGTATGTCAAGGAAGGAAATAAAATGTGCTTTAACATCCTACTTTTCTGCGTCGACTTGACGTGTGTGGTACATGTACATGTATGAGGGAAGTTTTGCCAGTACATTGGCACTTCTACTCATTGGTTAATGGTTACACAGTTACGTGTAATTAGGCATAGGCACATGTCATCAGTTTGATAGGAAGATGAGTTACTGCGTGTGCCCAGAGTAAGCTGAAGACGACATGTTTAATACGACCCGTGGAGACAGCCAAGATAATTAAGACAACGACATTGTTTAAAAAAAGCCTTCTTGATTACATGAAGGGATATGGTGTTTTTAAGCTGGTTTATCTATCTGTCCTATCTTCCAGTCAGACAACAAAGTTAAACTGGTTGAAATGTTACACTATGAAAGCTGGTAGTGATTTTTATCCATAAAGATGTGTTTGTTTGTGTTATTTCAATGTTTTTCGTATCACAAAATCCGGGTCCTCCGGTTCCCCACTCTGCTAAAGACCCTATGTTCAAACGAATTAATGAAAAAAAATTAAACCATATGACCTAGTTTGTGTCGAGTAGACGTTAAACCCCATTTCTCTCGCTCTCCTATCATGAAATGCCTTACAAACAATAGGTCCCAGGTTATTTTAAACCCATTAAACATGCACGTCTAATATTGACACCTATAAAATCTAAGAGTGTTTTATTGTTAATATTATTACAGGTCAAACAGCCTTGTGCCAAAGCATTATATGATTATGAAGCCAAAGAAAGTGGGTAAGTCAGTCATTGTTTTTTAAGACGAGCGATCGCTTTCAAGCACCTGCCGCTCACCTGAATGTCGACCGAGGGGAGTTTTTTTTCCCCTCCCCTTAAAACTGAGTAGTACATGTAGTAGTAGTTCTTGGTGTTTAACGTCTGCTTCCACATAAGTGATATCGCAGACAGCCTTAAAACTGAAAATCGCTCTCCTTTAAATAGTCATTGGGGGTTTATTATCATTTATGAAACCAGGAATGACCCCATTACATGCAGTTATTGATCTTAGAAGCATTTCCAATGCACATAACTAATCACTCTCCTAAATATCAGATCACTCTCGTTAATTTTTAAATCACTCTCCTTAATTTCTAAATCAATCGTTGATTGAGGGGAGCTTTTTTTGGCTCTCCTCTGAAATACAAACAACAACAACTGGTAATTTAACAAGTGAGAGTATACATGTACATCTATTGCAGAAGCTGGCAACCGACAAATTTTCGTCATTTTAAACATACATTATACAAGAGCTAAATCTGCCTATTGCAGGTCTTTCTTTAGGCCTGAAATGTTTTCTAAACTATTAATTAGACATTAATTGACTTATCCAGGTCATAATCAACTCTAGATGGCATCAGATTTCTCCGATATTAAATAGATTAGAACAGTACAGCCATATTTTGATTTAAGCTAAAAATGGAGGAACGAGACTTAGCTTCAAATAACCAGTACGATGGTTAAAATTATTGCACACTTTTTGTCAAACCTTCAAAGGCTAATATCTTCGCTCGCAATAGAATTATTGGAATGAAAATTTCAAATTATTTATTTTATATTATCTATTTTCGAACTATTATAGCAAGAATGGCTAGCTCTTTATCTAAATTTTACATAATGTATCTTTAATAAAATCATTTCCAGCGATCAGTAATTTACATGTAATTTTAATAAAATAATTTTTGTGTCGAGAGGACTTTAAACCCATCTTTCTCTCTCTCTCTCTCTCTCTCTCTCTCCCTCTCTCAAGCTGACCAATGATTATTATTATGAAATGATTTCAGTGATTTGGCGTTTAAGAAAGGAGAAGTGGTTTTATTAAAGAAACAGTTAGATGATAATTGGTATCAAGGAGAATTAAACAGTCAAATTGGATTTTTTCCTTCAAGTTATGTTCAGGTACGTTTCAAATCATATTGTTTTAAAGCAGGGATGGGCATTCTCTAGTGCACGTGTGATTAGAAGTCATGCATTGCATCCTGTTGAATGTGATAATAATAAAGTATAGAAGTAGGCTTACTCATTTTTTTTTAGCAATTTGAATATTTCGTGCATATCTATACTAATATTTGTGACTGTCGGTTGTTTGTTTGTCTGTTCAGGATTGGGGGGTTAGATGGCTGAATGGTTAGCACGTGCGTGCTGTATCATAAGGTCTGTCATTGAGTCAACTGGTGTGGTTTCGATTCCCCGGTTGTACGTGACAAGGAGTAGGATCACCTGTCCAACTTCGTGGGTTTTCTCCGGGTCCTCTAGTTTCCTCCCACTGCTAAAGACCCCTATACAGTACGCAAGCGAATTGCTGAAATAAAATTGAAACATGTGTTAGTCCCGAAATGACCTAGTTTGTGCCGAGTGGACGTTACATGTAAATATCTCTCTCTATGTTCAGGATTAGTGAGAGTTGTATGTACATATATATAAAAGGTTGTCCTCCCCTACTTTAGAACAACTTATCTTAATGAACCAGAAACCTGCGGATGTCTTGATGTGTAATACGTTGGTTCACTGATCAGAATATATCCAGGGTTTGATCCAGATCTTCAGGATTTCTCATGTTGGTTTCCCAATGTCAGTGGTGCAGGACAGAGGGCCTGGAATGGAGAAAGATGTGTCATGTTTATACCATTACTAGCAGGTTAAAAAGACCCCTGGCAGTTAGAAATTTGAAATAAGGGCAGATCGTAGTTCTGTTATCAGAGTACGATTGTACCACTGCCCTAAATTAATACAGAAATAAAATGGGGTTTAACATCCTACTGTTCTGCTCCGAACTGGGCTAATGCAGATGGTCACACGCCATACAATGTGCTATGAGGGAAATTTTGCCTCCAGGACAGCGGCACTATGGCCTACTCTTGTATCGAATTCCAACTGCCAAGGGATCTTTTACATGCACGCCAGTGTGTAAACAGGACTTTGTTTTTTGTCCCATCCGAAAAAAATTAATATATTGTTTATTTTGCAGGTTATTGTACCACTGCCTCAAATTCCTCAGTGTCGAGCTTTATATGACTTTGATCTAAAAGATGAAAAAGAAAAAGATTGTCTTGTATTTAAAAAGGAAGATATTTTAACAGTTATGAGAAGAGTTGATGAAAATTGGATCGAAGGTAGAAAAGGAGAAAAAATAGGAATATTTCCACTTACTTTTGTAGAGGTTGGTTTTCATCATTTTTAAAACTATACTTGAATAACTATCATACAGATCATGGTGGACAAGGCTTGAATAGTCTCTGTCGTCATTCAGGACCATGGTGGACAAGGCTTGAATAGTCTCTGTCATCATACAGACCGCGATGGACAATGCTTAAATAGTCTCTGTCATCATACAGGACCATGGTGGACAAGGCTTGAATAGTCTCTGTCATCATACAGGACCATGATGGACAAGGCTTGAATAGTCTCAATCATACAGGACCATGATGGACAAGGCTTGGATAGTCTCTGTCATCATACAGGACCATGGTGGACAAGGCTTGAATAGTCTCTGTCATCATACAGGACCATGGTGGACAAGGCTTGAATAGTCTCTGTCATCATACAGGACCATGATGGACAAGGCTTGAATAGTCTCAATCATACAGGACCATGATGGACAAGGCTTGGATAGTCTCTGTCATCATACAGACCGCGATGGACAATGCTTAAATAGTCTCTTATCATCATACAGGACCATGATGCTCAATGCTCAGAGTGTGATTTTAATTATCTATCTTTGTATTTTAGTTAAATGATGCTGCCAAGACGTTAGTCAATTCTAAGCCTAGGTAAGGCCTTATTTTGTTTATTTACAGTAACTATGTGTGATTTGCATTTTTCGGAAAATATCAAATATCTCATCGCTTAATCTTGATTGATTAATTAACATTTGATTAAGAAAGCCAAATCAATATACCAACTTTAGATAATCTCCTAGATGAGATTCTGTTGGATTTAAAACAGGCCCATCAATTTGGTTCACGGCTAATAAAGGTTACCACATTCTCGTTCCATAGGGAGCCATGAGCGTTTTTGTTATACAAATGTATATTGGAGCAGTATAGATCAAGATTCTATCTGATTTAAAACGGAGCCATTAGCATTCTTGTTACATGTACATAGGGTACAGTATTGACCAATGGAATTTTCTAAAACTGAATTGATTCAAACCCGTATAAGACCAGTATTCCTGTTTTACCCTTTACACTGTAAACCAGGTATCATTTAATCTTGTGTATCTAGCACTAATTTAATTCACATTCATTTAATATCAATATTGTTTTAAAATTCGTAAAATTCATTTAAAATTACCAAAAATCATCTAATTTGTACTTGTGTCCAGTTTAAAGCTGACTGATTAATTTTGATAATGAGTGTCCAATTTACAATATTTAATTTCATGACCACTGTTCAAAAATTAATCATTATACATCATTAATCAATTGAGTTGTTTATTTTTTAACTGTGATTGAGAAATTAAACACTTGTAAATTGGACACTCATTATCAAAATTGAATGGTCAGCTTTAAACTGGACAGAAGTACAAATTAAACGATTTATGGTGATGTTAAACAGTTTTTACAAATTTTTAAACAAAGATTTGATATTAAACGAATGTGAAAGAAATTAGTGCTAGATACACAAGATTAAATGATACCTGGTTTACAGTGTTAACTGTCAGATAATCCATATGGAACGTTAATCAGGAGGCCATTTTGCAGGTCAAGAACAAATAATGTTAAATATTTTATACTACTGAATTCATTTCGTGTCTTTTTTTTTTTTATAACAGTTCCAGTATATTACAAGCAGCCAATAAGCTGCCCACAAGTTCACCTCGTTCGACGTCCGCTGGCGGCACAACTTCAAACACTGTTCTACCTTCAGCTATAGCTGCCAGTCTACCACAGCAGAAACGGCACTCTTTTACACATACTTCTCACTCCTCACCTTCACCCCCGAACCCCCAGCGGCATTCTCTCGAACTAGGAAGTAGCGGAGGATTTAATATACTTTCATCCAGTGTTAATAGTAGTACTCCAGCTGTAGTCTCAACGTCCAGTACTTCGTCTACATCTAATGTAGTTTCGCTGCCCACTCAGGTAAATCCTTCATCATAATTTAAAAATATATCAACATCAATGCATATTGAAATTAATTATGCCCGCCGTACCATTCTTGTCGGACTAATTGGTGGCGAGTGTCGTTTTTGGCCGATAAGAAATACGTCTAGTGTAATGGTGCAGCACCTTTGTCACTCAGTAAACCTTGGCAGACTCCGGAACTCTACATCTAGCCTCGGCTGTATGACGGTAGGTGATATGTACCTACGCCTTTACAATTGCGATTCGGCTACCAGTTTACTTATCAGGAAAACTTGCCGCTTTTAGAAAGAAGTTATCAAAATTGCATTGACTGAAGAGTGTGTAAAATTTTCATTGCAAAGTTGTCCTTTGTTCAAAGAAAATCGGATAAACTTGAAAGAAATACGACTTCAGACATTGAAAGCTTTGTATGATAAAACACTCTTCACAGGGATCTTCATGGGCAATGCCATTTGTAATCAGGGAATTCGTTATACAGCCGAGGTAAGATGTAGAGTGCTGGAGTCTGCTGAGGTTTGCCGAGTTGCACCTGGATTTGGATAAGACGTTAACACAGCCATCTTAGACTTGTGACATCATAAATAAATGAAATAAATTTTAATATTAATTAGAAATTTTGACTAGTCCTCCTAAAGTCTTGTGCTGAAATAATTCAATATATCATAATGCCTGATTTATTAAAATTCATTTCAGAGATCTGAGAGTCCAGATAGAAATTCTCCGCGCGTGGTTAGCCCTCCAGTACAGAGTTCCTCACCTACATCTAATCTGACAACACCATAGTAAGTCAAATGTTTCAAGTTGTACCTTCTAGTTATTGATCAGTTTATGTAGTATAAGTCTATCTTTAAGTCTATCTATCTGTCTGTGTTTAAGTCTGTTTTTATTCTACCTACATGTACATGTATCTGTCTGTGTATGTTTTAAGTCTATCTGCCTGTGTATAAGTCTATGTTTTTTATTCTACCTATCTGTCCGTGTATAATTGTAAGTCAATGTTAAATTCTAGCGATCTGTCAGTGTAGAAGTCTATATGTTAAGTCTATCATCTGTCTATGTATAAGTCTATCTGTCTGTGTATTAGTCAATGTTTTTATTCTAGCTATCTGTCCGTATATAAGTATGTTTTTTATTCAACCTACATGTATCTGTGTATGTTTTAAGTCTATCTATCCGTTTGTGTATAATTGTAAGTCTATGTTTTTTAGTTTTTTATTCTAGCTACATATATCTGTCCGTGTATAAGTAAGTCTATGTTTTTATTCTAGCTATCTGTCCGTGTATAAGTCTATGTTTTTTATTCTAGCTATCTGTCCGTGTATAATTATAAATCTATGAAAGATGATGAGCTTGAATTAAAGAAAGGAGAATATTATACTGTCAATGAAAAATGTCAAGATGGCTGGTTTAAAGGCCAGTGTGTTAAGACAGGTAAAACGGGTGTCTTCCCAGGAAATTATGTTCAGATGATCAGGTAAGCTAATTAAAATCTGTTGGATTCTAATATTGTGGGGTGAGGGTGGCGGGGTTTGGTTGAACGGTCTAAGGCATGCCCTCACTTGTACGTGACAAGGAGTAGTGTTGCCTTTCCAGTCTCGAAATCACCATTTCTCTCCCGCACCTTGTCTTTCTGTCCCTCCCTTACGCCCTCGCCCACCCTCTCCCCTCCCTCTCTCTCCCCTCCCTCTCTCTCCCCTCCTTCTCTCTCCCTCTCTCTCCCCTCCCTCTCTCTCCCTCTCTCTCTCTCTCTCTCTCTCTCTCCATTCTCTCTCTCTCCCTCCCTCTCCCCTCCCTCTCTCTCCCCTCCCTCTCTCGCTCTCTCTCTCCCTCTCTCGCTCTCTCTCTCTCTCCTCTCTCTCTCCCTCTCTCTCTCTCTCTCTCTTTGTCTCTCTCTCTCTCTCTCTCTCTCATTAAATTTTTGTGGACAACTAAACCGCGTTGACTTTTTCATGATCTCACTAATGACAATCAACAGCTTTAGAGATTACAAGGGGGTTGGGTGGCCGGATGGTTAATGCGTCTATCATTGAGTCAAGTGGCATGGTTTTGATTCCCCGCTTGTACTTGACAAGGAGTAGGGTCACTTGTCCAACCTCGTCAGATTTCTAAGGGTCCTCGGATTTCCTCCCTCTGCTAAAGACCCTTGGGGGGTTGGGTGGCCGAGTGGTTAACGGCTGCGAGTTTGATCATAAGGTCTGTCATTGAGTCAAGTGGCAGAGTTTCAATTCCCCGCTTCTACGTGACAAGAAGTAGGGTTGGCTATCCAACCTCGTGGATTTTCTCTTGGTCCTCCGGTTTCCTCCCACTGCTAAAGACCCCCTACGCGCAAGAGAATCATTGAAATAAAATTGAACCATATGTTAGTCCCAAAATGACTTATATTGTGTCAGTGGACTTCAACCCATTTCTCTCTCTCTCTCTCTTAAAGCTTACATGTACATGTACCAGTGTTTGATGATGACCTTTTTTGATTTGTTTTTTTGTTTTTTTTCTTCAGACAACCCAGTGCATTTAAACCAATTAATCCTAATGTTATGAATATACGAGCTGCCGAACAATCAAACTCATCAACTAGATCTAATACTACAACAACAACATCCTCACAAACCATGTCATCACCTCAATCATCATCATCATCATCACCACCACCACCTCAGTCATCTACATCTTCATCATCATCACCACCTCTTGTACCCCCTCCACTCCTTCCTAGAACACACAAATCATCGTCTTCCATCAATAGTTCAAACCACACCTCATCAACATCATCATCTTCATCATCCCCACCATCACAAACTAGTGGTTTACGAACCGTAGCTGCTAACACCCACAGTGTGAAGAAGTCATCGACTACGTCACATGGACCGTTATCGAGCACCAGTCTGGAGGCTATTCAACATTCCATGTCAGCATCAAGTAGTATAACTCCACCTAATAAAGTTGCAGCTGCTGGTGGAGATACTCCACAACTTCCTCTCAAACCAAAAGAGAAGGTAGGTGATAATCTCTCTCTCTCTCTCTCTCTCTGTCTCTCCCTCTCTCTCTCTCTATCACTCTCTTATCAAGGTAGGTGATAATCTGCATAAAATGAAATGAATTGAAGTTTATCCCCTTTTAATATTATTTTATATTTTCATATTTTAGAAGGAGAAGAAGGAAAAGAAAGAAAAGAGTGGTAAAAGTTTATCTAAGTTATTACATGTTGGTGGAAAACATAAAAAATATAAAACACTTAATACTACAGATACTGCAGGAGAATCTTCTGCTACTGCACTTTCTTCTGCTACTGCTGCTGCTGCTGCTGCTGCTCATTCTGTAGATGTTGCTCATTCTAGGTAAGTTAATTCATCAACCTCTACTCATTCTATAGTTGGTCATTCTGTAGATGTTAGTCATTCTGTAGATGTTGGTCATTCTATAGTTGGTCATTCTGTAGATGTTGGTCATTCTGTAGATTCTGTAGATGTTGGTCATTCTGTAGATGTTGGTCATTCTAGGTAATTTATGATACATCAACCTCTGCTCATTCGAGGTACATGTAAGTTGCAATAAATCAACTTCTGCTCATTCTGTACATGTTGCTCATTAGGGTGTTTCACTTTTCATTTTTTTCTTTAATCCTGAACATGGCCACAATTTAGGTAAAAATGGCCATCTTTGGCAAGAAAATTCTGAAAATATTATGGGGTAAGTTTGACCCCTAGTGGACTTTGGTGATGGGTAGAAACCTTAGAAATTACGTAAAAAAGTGAAACACACGATTGCTCATACTAGGTAAGTAAGAACTCATAGAATTTGGAATTCATCAAAGAGCAGACAGAAACACCACTGTCCAAGCAAAAATTTCTGTCAGAGCACATGGTTGGGTGGCCAAATGGCCTATTGTGTGAACCTTAGATTATAAGGCTGTCAATGAGTGAAGTGACATGCCCACTCAGTACAGGACGTTAAATCCCATTTAACGTCATGTAATACATTGTTGACCTTATGTTTTACAGATCAGGTTCGTATCCAGCTAAAAGTCAAGGGGCAACGGCTGATCACAAGAAATCAGGTTCATTTGATTCTTCTGTTCCAGCTAAACCAACTCGACCTAAACCATTACCTAGAGAAAAGTAAGTATTGTTCAATAGATAAAATCGACGACTTTGTATTTTAGCACTGAAGTTAGGCAAACGCACAGTCTGAGGGGATCGATCCTCCACGGCTTGCGCTGTGCATATTGTTTTCTCCTACATCGTCGCCATTTTAGCCTCACTCCACTTTAATCCTGTACATGTATTCCCCCAGACCTCACGCCAAACTTTTACTTGCTTACCAACATGTACACTGGAGCCTAAACCTTCTGGTTTAATTAGTGAGCCGGCGACTTATTCGCTATCTTTGGTAGGGGGTGGTGGTGAATGGCCGAATGGTTAACTCATGTGCGTTGCATCTTAGATCTGTTATTGAGTCAAGTGACGTGGTTTCGATTCCCTGCTAGTGCGTGACAAGGAGTAGGGTCGTCAATCCAACCTTGTGGGTTTTCTAAGGGTCCTCCGGTTTCCTCCCACCGCTAAAGACCCCTACGCACAATCAAATTATTGAAATAAATTGAACCATATGTTAGTACCGTAATGACCTAGTTTGTGTTGAGTGGAAGTTAAACCCCATTCCTCTATCTGTTGAACACAATTTCTCTTTTTATTTTTCAGATATAATTGTGTGGTACCTTACCCCCCTCAAACAGAACATGAACTAGACCTTCAAATAGGAGATATTGTCTATGTACATAAAAAAAGGGATGACGGGTGGTTTAAAGGGACTTTACAACGAAATGGAAAAACTGGACTCTTCCCAGGCAGTTTTGTCGTAAAAATGGATTAATATATAATAATTAATTAGTACACATGCAGATATTTAGAGCTTAGCAATAGGATCATTGGAAATATTTTATTTTTAATTTTTAATTAAATTATTGATAATCAAGAATTAAATTCTAGTTATTATTACAAAGTTATAAAAAAGGTTATCAATGTTTGTCAGCATTGCTGGGCTTTATCAATAGAAATTTTTTATATTAATGAAAAATTTCTGGGTTTTTTCATGAACTAAAATTATAATACTGAGCGGAAAAAAACAATTTGAAGAATTCATAAACTTTAAAAAAAACCCACAGTTTTCATCTTGATTTTTGTGAAGTTGACGTGAATATAAGAGTTAGATTTTGAAGAATTTATAAACTTTGAAAAACGCAACTTTTATGTTGGTTTTTGTGATGTTGATTCAATCTGATTAAAATACAGATCTATATTTCGTTTCATTTTTTTATACTTTTCATGACTTACACAACATGAAGATCTGACCTGCTTTTGACCCTATGATGTCAGAAATTGATTAATCAATCAGTGGATTACTCACAGTTCTGTGCACAGCACGACAAAAACTCGCCGTAACAGACCGTTTCATTTGCCAATCTCTCACATCATTCAGAACGTGGGTTATATAACAACTCTTCCAGATCCTAGTGTACTATAGACAAGTAAATTTTGAACAATAAAAAACAAAACGAAATAGGATCTGTGTTTGAATCAGATTGATGTGGATTTGAATGACTAGTGCAAGAATTAGATGAGACAAAGTCACATACTTTCACAGATTTTATAATGTTTAAGTGGAAAACACATTAACTGAGCACAATTTTTTATGGTGCTCGATAATGATATAACGTCATATTTTTAGAATAAAATCTGTGGTTGTTCCCCATAAAAATTGTGTTCCGTTAATTACCGGCCTTGGAGTAACGATTTTATTTGGATCTGACAAAATGTTGTGCAGTACTGAACTAGAAAATGACAGGTATGCGAGGAGTAGTGGCTGATAAACCCTGAATTTGTGTCTGACATGGTCTGTTACAGGAACCTTATTGTCAGGCGTAGAGAGCCACATTGGAACATTTTCACAAGCAGTTCATCAAACGTCTCTTTGATCTGATGATTTACATATTCTCCGAATGTCACAAAATAAAATTATTCAAGACAATCTC